TATAAATATCAGAGTACAGTGGACCCTCAACTAACGGCGGCATCATCTAACACCAAAACCAACTAACGGCTCTCTTTGGCGTCAAAATATTGGCTCTACCAACATCGAAAAACTCGTCTAAAGGCTTTTGTCCCGAACGTGTCCATGCGCACTGAGCGGGCCCAGCCACTCCAAGACTCCGTGTATAGCCAGTGTGCCATTGTTTACAAGCCGTTGCGGTCGATTCTATGCATACACGCGATATATTTTGTATTATTCCATTTTTTTAGTGCTTGTAACTGCTAAATAAGCCACCATAGGCCCAAAGAAAGTTTCTAGTGCCAGCCCTGTGATAAAGAAGGAAAGAAACACAATAAAATTCAAGAAAAAACTCGCAGCAAAGTACCAAAGTGGAGGAGGAAGAGAGAAGGGAGAATGTGCCTTCTGCAGTGATTCAGTGATTCTACGATATATATGATACTAAAGCAGCAGGTATCGATAAAGGCTCTAGTGCCAGCCAGCGATAAAGTGTAGAATTAACAGTCTAGCAAGTAAGTTAAGCGAGTAAGCGATAGAAAAACGACACAAAAGTACCTCTCCAATGTTGTTGGATGTGTGTATACCCGCTGAACATATGCCAGCCTGCTATCTTCCACTGCCCTAAACCTCTGCCAGCATCTCCATCAAACTAATTAAACTAACATCTCCTCCAAGGTAAGTGTAAATATAAAAGTGTAAGCATAAAAGTAAATATATTAAGTGTAAATATAAAAGGACCCCAATGGAAATACGTGGGTCACTGACTTTTTTGGGTTATCCTAGGTACTTTACACATATGCTGCTATGTATGATAATCTATGTAACTGTATTTATGTATACCTGAATAAACTTACTTATTTATAAATTAAAATGCAAATATTTCTTATTTATAAATTACATACATTGTTTAAGTGTGATGGTGGTGCTGGCAAAATCCTCCACCTCCACTAACACGGCTTCTCTCAGTGGCGGCCCTTCAACCCAACAACAACACAAACCATTTACTCCTCTCATACATTATGATATATTTTATTCATTCTAGAGAATATATCTTGTTTCTATGTTATTAATATTGTTTATAATGTCATATTAGATGAATTGTGATAGATAAATAAGCCGTAGAGATGATATTAGCGTCATATTGAAGCATAATAAACTTGCTTTCCTCTTGCCTCCTACATGTCTATCATACACCAACAAGTCAAGTCAATAAAGATAAGTCAATAAAGGTAAGTGTGATGTTAAATGTTCATTTATCCATTTTATTAGTGCTTCATATTTATTTGTCATTGTTTTCTGTATGTATATTTATATTTAATCTTTAAAAAAATATTTTTTGTTAATACTTTTGGCTGTCGTCCTCAAAAGGGTTGGAAAGGGGGGGTAAAGGAGGTTTTGGGGGCGAGGGGCTTGGACTTCCAGCAAGCATGCATGAGCGTGTTAGATAGGAGTGAATGGAGACGAATGATACTTGGGACCTGACGATCTGTTGGAGTGTGAGCAGGGTAATATTTAGTGAAGGGATTCAGGGAAACCGGCTATTTTCATATAGTCGGACTTGAGTCCTGGAAATGGGAAGTACAATGCCTGCACTTTAAAGGAGGGGTTTGGGATATTGGCAGTTTGGAGGGATATGTTGTGTATCTTTATACGTATATGCTTCTAAACTGTTGTATTCTGAGCACCTCTGCAAAAACAGTGATAATGTGTGAGTGTGGTGAAAGTGTTGAATGATGATTAAAGTATTTTCTTTTTGGGGATTTTCTTTCTTTTTTGGGTCACCCTGCCTCGGTGGGAGACGGCCGACTTGTTGAAAAAAAAAAAAAAAAACTTTTGGCTGTCTGAAATGAATTAAATGGATTTCCATTATTTGTTATGGGGAAAATTAATTCGACTAACGGCTAATTTGACTAAAGGCTAGCTCTCTGGAATGGATTAAACCCATTGGTTGAGGGTCCACTGTATATATATCTGAAATAACTTTAAAACACTTGAAATTTTAGAAAGTTTGCAGACATAATGGAGAAATGTACTTATGGAGAATGTAAACAAACTGGGTGGCGCTCGGTGACCGTGTTAGAAAGTCAGGTGGGGGGAGCAGTATAGCAAGGTGAAATGTCCGTACTAGCGGAATGCTGTAAAACGGGGTCCTACTGTATATCCTGCTCATGTTCTGTCTCTTCATATTACATGATTACTACCACCCCAGATAAATATATCTGTATCAAAAAATTTGGATGAGGACATTTTGAAAATTTTCAGATAAGTTTCAAAAATTTTGTGAAAGCTTTCCTCTCTGAAGTGAAAATTGGAAACAAGAGTTCCTGGTGCCGACAATTCTGGATATGCTATGTTCAACTAATCGAAAAAAGAAAAAATACCTCCCTCCTCCTCCCATACCTTCCCTTCCTCTCTTACTTCCTCTTTCTTCCTCTTTCCCTTCCCTATCTTTCAGTACAGTATTATTAAAATAATGGTACACAGTATTGACAAATAGATGAGTAAAACACGAGCAACAGTTAAGTAACTTACCAAAACATTTTGCCTACACAATAGGCTTCTTCAGTCGAATACAGAGCTAACTAAACATGGAGACAACTGAACCAGTGGCAAGGTAAAAATAATGCTATCAGTTCATCAGCCTTGAAATAGTGGTTTTTGAAGTGGTCAATCCTTCAGCCTAAAAAAAAAGTTCAACTCCGAGCTGAGGAACTGCTCAGAGGTCCTACTTTTTCCTTCACCTTCATCCTATACACTTGAAAGAACCCCTTTGGATTGGTTTTTGATTCATTAGCAACTCTAATTTCATAGTCACGTTCAGCCTTTCTAATCCCCTTTTTTAGTTCTCTTTTAGGCTGAACATATTGGTCAGTAAGGTTAATCTCCCCTCTTCTGATGCACCTATAAATTCCCCTTTTCTCCACTAATAGATGCTTTAGCCTCCATTGGGATCGTTATTATTAGACCTAATTTCTCTCTGGGGAATGTATATATACGTGTACCCTGAGCACGGTGTACATTATTAAGAAAAAAATCATAAAAGCAGATCCCTTCATAATGATAAGTATGATCATCGTCAATAAAATCATTAGCTAGATAACCCCAATCAAGATTAGACAGGTGTTCCCTAAGTCCACTATAATCGCCAGAACGAAAATCAGGGATTTTTACCGTATTATCATTATTCTTGTATTCCTTGGGTAGTTTCAAGTTTAGGTTGGACAAATACATTAGATAAGTTTAGATTTTATAAGATAAGTTTAGATTTAGAAAGGATATAGGAAAGTACTAGTTTCGTAATAGGGTAGTTAACCCTTTCAGGGTCCGTCCCGTAGATCTACGGCTTTACGTTCAGGGTCCAAACCGTAGATCTACGTCATGAGCTCAGCTCACTCTGATAAACTGTGAGTGGTACATTTGGGCCTAGATATGAGAGAATACATCTATGTGGTATGTGTGCACCACATAAAACAAATCCTGCAGCACACTGCGTATAATGAGAGAAAAAAAACTGAAATCATGATTTTTCGATTAAAACAGCGACTTTGCAGTGTTTTTTCGTAGGTTTTTTATAATTGTATTTGCGATTTCTTGGTCTCATTTGATAGAATGGAAGGCATATTACAGAAATATAGATAATTTTGATTGGTTTTAGGACTGGAAATGGCTTGAAACTGAGCTCAAAGTAGCAGAAATGTTAATTTTTTGCCGATATTCAAGAGTAAACAAACGACCTCACACGTCTAATACACGCCAGCTGGTGGGTCTAATATGCATTCACAAATATGGTGATGATATTTATACAATTATTACAGTATTGCATAACAGTAGATCTTCTATTTTTTGGTGTGAATAAAAAATCAAAATGGAATTTATTTGTAAAGCCTCAAAACATAAATAATGAACAGAGGAAATGTTAGTTTAGTTCCAGGAATACCTACATTGTTTATTCTGGACCCTATTTTGAAATTGGAATATTTTGAACTTTGTGTTAAATTGGCCAAATTAAAAATTTCCGATCACTTTAATTTGTAGTTGAAACAGTTGACTTGGCGATTTCTTGTGCTCAATCGATAGAATAAAAGTAATACTAGTGAAATAGCTAAGAATTTGGTTGACTGGAATAATGTAATTGGCCTAAAATGGGAGTCAAAGTCGGCAAAATCGCCGATTCGTAAATATCGCTGACACATCAAAATTCGCGAGAGCATAATTTCGTCAATTTTCCATCAAATTTCATACTTTTTGTTTTATTACATTCACAAAAAGGTTCTCTACCATTTCATAAGAAAAAATAACAATTTTTTTTTTTTTTTAAATTCTTGGACACTGGGGCACCACTTCAGATTTGGGCCTTGGACCCTGAAGGGGTTAATGAGTGGAATGGTCTACCTAGGTGGGTTATCAAAGCTAAAACCTTGGGTAGTTTCAAATTTAGGTTGGATAAGTACATGAGTGAGAGGGGTTGGATTTGAGAGGAACTTGCATGCGAGTAAATAGAACTGTCAAAGTTTATTGCTTGGGTAGTGTTTATTCTGTTGGTGGGTTGGATTTGTGTAAGACCTGCCTAGTATGGGCCAACAGGCCTACTGCAGTGTTCCTCCTTTCTTATGTTTCCATGTACGTCGAAAACTACTACATCAAGACTGATGGACTTATAACATCATCTTTACCTTGCCACTACTTCTCTTGCCTCCATATCTGCTCACCACTGTATTCCACTGAAGAATCCTACGTTAGAAAAACATTTCGGAAACAAAGATACTAACTACTACACGTCTTCTTCATCTATCTTTGAATATTCTTAAGTCTTTCTAACTTTTTATGACAAACAAAACAAAATTGCCATATGTATTGAGTGTATGTGTGTTTCAGTTACTAAAACATATTTGAAAACATTATAGAATGAAATTGGCCATGTAACACTTAAAAGTTGCTCAAAACAGTCAAAACTTAAAAATAATTCAAAGCACATAAAAATCAGAGTTCTTATAACTACTTACAGCTACTTGCATTCATAATAATTGCTTTATAATATCTTTAAATTTGTTTAGAATTTCTTATAACTAATGAAAATACTTAATCTAAGGATAATACTTTGTCAACCTTAAACCCAGATTAACAGGCCACCAGTAACGTTCCCTGCCTAGTTTTACTAGGGAGCTTTCTTTTATAAACATATATTTGTATTATAAATCTAAAGAAAATGCAAAGGGGCATTCTCAAGACACTGCTTGAAAACAAATTAGTGAAAAAATGTACCAAAGAGAAAAGCTGTAAGGTATACCCATACTGGGGATGCCTAATAATAAGGTCCACAAGACCAAATGCTTTATTTAGTGTACAGTGGATTCACTATACATTAAATGTAAGATGCTATCATTATACCCATCAAAAGATATACTCCTATTAATAAAGATATTCCTTCAACAAAATTAATGACTATGAATCTGTTATTATATTAAATGTCTTTAAAAAAACTTTTAATAGTGACAATTTCCTAACCTGCGAAAACAGGATTACTTCTATAGTGATCCACTAAAACAGACATTTGTACCTAGTGAAGATTGCTGAACCATTACTCTTCGGCAGTGCCATCATGCAGTGACGCACCTGCATTGTATTGTACTTGCACTACATCACCACCAACATTGATCAAACACTGACCCTGAAACAAAAAAAAATGTTAGAAATAGACTGCACTACAAACTTATCTGACAGCTTTAAGCAATGCATACCCATACTGTGCCAATAGTCAAAAGATTACAGAAATGGAAGGTGGTGCTCAACCTTAAAGAATAAGTCACCACCTATAAGGGACTAAATTTATTACAGTTTATATTCAAAGAAAAATGTAATACAGTGGTCCCTCAATTATCGTCCGGCTCAATAGTCGTCCCTTTCGTAAACCGTCACTTTATTCTAGCCCAAAAGTTGGCTCGCAAATGGTTGGTTTACTCGCTAAGCGTCCTTCGTCCGGGACGCATACTCACGCTCTGAGCCGCCTCGGCTTCCCTTCCCAGCCAGTGTGCCATTGTTTACCAGTAAGCGACGGTCCCCTCACTTGTTCATACAAAATATTTCATAATATTCCATTCATTTTAGTGCTTGCAAGTGCTAATTAAGCTACCATGGCTCCAAAGAAAGCTCCTAGTGCCAAGCCTTTGGTAAAGAAAGTGAGAAATACGATTGAATTTAAGAAAAAAATCATTGAACAATATGAAAGTGGCGTTCGTGTGGCCGAACTGGCCAGCTGAGGAACTGCAAGAGCTTCAGCAGGAACAGGAACAGATCGCAGCTCAGAATCTTGCTGCAGAGGAGGAGGAAGAGAGATGGAAGAAGGTGCCTTCTTTAGAAATTAAGGAGATTTTTGAAATATGGGATAGGATGGAAAGATTTATGGAAAAACATTACCCTGAGAAGGATGTTGTAAGCCATATCGTAACTTGTACAATGACAAAGTCTTGGCCCATTTTAGGGAAGTTTTAAAGAGATGCCAGAAACAGAGCTCTCTGGACACTTTTTTTGTGAGACAGGACTCCAGTGACTCTCAAGCTGGCCCAAGTGGCATTAAGAAACAGAGAAGAGAAGTAACCCCAGAAAAGCACTTGGTACCTGAGGTGCTGATGGAAGGGGATTCCCCTTCCAAACAGTAACTAATCTAATGTCTCTCCTCCTCCAGTCTTCCATACACTAAGAAGAATCACCAATAAAGGTAAGTGTTATGCTGTTAATGTTTCATTCATCATGTCCCATTGTATTGTTTATGTACTACATCTATGTTTCACGTAAAAAAAAATTTTGTTTTAATACTTCTGGGTGTCAGGAACGGATTAATTGTATTTACATTATTTCACCCTGCCTCGGTGGGAGACGGCCGACTTGTTGAAAAAAAAAAAAAAAAAAAATATTTCTTATGGGGAAAATTGATTCGAAAACCATCTTTTTCGATAATCGAAACACTTCCAGGAATGGATTAACAATGATAAATGAGGGACCACTGTAGTGTATCCAGTGAGACTAGATGCGAGGAAAGAATGGAATTGGACAAGGTCTCACTATGGATAATGAAGGTGGATAAGACTCTCTAAAAAGCCACTAACAAAGATCTACAGTAGAATATTAGAGCCAAGAATATCAGAAACCTGGAAAACTGTAAATGTATTACACTACCAATATTTAAAGATGACAGGCAAAATATCCTAAATTAGAGATCAGTATGCTTGACACATTTAACTTGCGAGGTATTAGAGAAGACTATAAGAAAACTTAAGACAATCTGAATAGAATATGATTCACCATGGACTAAACATTGGCCCATAAAAGGAAAATCATGCATTATTAGTTTTGGAGTGGTTGGTGTTATTATTTAATAAATGTATAGAAGAAGGTACGGTACCTAGGGATTGGCAGAGAGCATGCATAGTTCCTTTGTATAAAGGCAAAGGGGACAAAAAGAGTGCAAAAATTATAGGGGGATAAGTCTGTTGAGTATACCTGGTAAAGTGTATGGTAGAGTTGTTATTGAAAGAATTAAGAGTAAGACAGAGAATAGGATAGCAGATGAACAAGGAGGCTTTAGGAAAGGTAGGGGGTGTGTGGACCAAGTGTTTACAGTGAAACATATAAGTGAACAGTATTTAGATAAGACTAAAGAGGTTTTTGTGGCATTTATGGATTTGGAAAAGGCGTATGACAGGGTGGATAGGGGGGCAATGTGGCAGATGTTGCAGACGTATGGTATAGGAGGTAGGTTACTGAAAGCAGTGAAGAGTTTTTACGAGGATAGTGAGGCTCAAGTTAGAGTGTGTAGGAAAGAGGGAGATTATTTCCCAGTAAAAGTAGGCCTTAGACAAGGATGTGTGATGTCACCGTGGTTGTTCAATATATTTACAGATGGGGTTGTAAGAGAAGTAAATGCGAGGGTCTTGGCAAGAGGTGTGGAGTTAAAAGATAAAGAATCACACATAAAGTGGGAGTTGTCACAGTTGCTCTTTGCTGATGACACTGTGCTCTTGGGTGATTCTGAAGAGAAGTTGCAGAGGTTGGTGGATGAATTTGGTAGGGTGTGTAAAAGATGAAAATTGAAAGTGAATACAGGAAAGAGTAAGGTTATGAGGATAACAAAAAGATTAGGTGATGAAAGATTGGTTATCAGATTGGAGGGAGAGAGTATAGAGGAGGTGAATGTATTCAGATATTTGTGAGTGGACGTGTCAGCGGATGGGTCTATGAAAGATAAGGTGAATCATAGAATTGATAAGGGGAAAAGGGTGAGCGGTGCACTTAGGAGTCTGTGGAGACAAAGAACTTTGTCCTTGGAAGCAAAGAGGGGAATATATGAGAGCATAGTTTTACCAATGCTCCTGTATGGGTGTGAAGCATAGGTGATGAATGTTGCAGCGAGGAGAAGGCTGGAGGCAGTGGAGATGTCATGTCTGAGGGCAATGTGTGGTATGAATATAATGCAGAGAATTCATAGTTTGGAAGTTAGGAGGAGGTGTGGGATTGCCAAAACTGTTGTCCAGAGGGCTGAGGAAGGGTTGTTGAGGTGGTTCGGACATGTAGAGAGAATGGAGCGAAACAGAATGACTTCAAGAGTGTATCAGTCTGTAGTGGAAGGAAGGCGGGGTAGGGGTCGGCCTAGGAAAGGTTGGAGGGAGGGGGTAAAGGAGGTTTTGTGTGCGAGGGGCTTGGACTTCCAGCGGGCATGCGTGAGCGTGTTTGATAGGAGTGAATGGAGACAAATGGTTTTTAATACTTGACGTGCTGTTGGAGTGTGAGCAAAGTAACATTTATGAAGGGGTTCAGGGAAACCGGCAGGCCGGACTTGAGTCCTGGAGATGGGAAGTACAGTGCCTGCACTCTGAAGGAGGGGTGTTAATGTTGCAGTTTAAAAACTGTAGTGTAAAGCACCCTTCTGGCAAGACAGTGATGGAGTGAATGATGGTGAAAGTTTTTCTTTTTCGGGCCACCCTGCCTTGGTGGGAATCGGCCAGTGTGTTAATAATAAAAAAAATAAGTTCTGCATAACAGGATGATAGAAATAGAGCAGTGAAGATAAGGGTGAACAAAATGTTGAATGTCATTTAATTTACAGTCTTGTAGGAGATAAATTTACAAGATGGAAAATCAGGGTGGAAAATGAGTACAAGTACTCAGCTGGTTATAAAATACATCACAAGAAGTCATTGTAAATGAGATGTAGGAATGAAGACAAGTAAAAAAATGGAGTTCCCCAAGGCTCAATTTTCAGTCCCATGGGGAATTATTAAAAATGTTCCCCAAATGATGAACAAGTAAACAAATTACCCAGAATTATAGCTGAACTGTGCATTAGGATTTTTTTTATTTTTCAACAAGTCGGCCATCTCCCACCTAGGCAGGGTGCCCCAAAAAGAAAGAAAATCCCAAAAAAGAAAATACTTTCATCATCATCCAACACTTTCACCTCACTCATACATAATCACTGTTTTTGCAGAGGCGCTCAGATACGACAGTTTAGAAGTCCATCCAAACTATCGATATCCTAAACCTCTCCTTTAAAGTGCAGGCATTGTACTTCCCATTTCCAGGACTCAAGTCCGGCTAAACGGTTTCCCTAAATCCCTTCATTAAATATTACTAACTAATAATATATACACTGTAGAACTCCATACATATTTATTTTCTTTATACATGTGACTGGAAAGTTTTGGAAAACTTAACAATAGATACACCCCTTGAAGAAGGTGCCTTGATGCTGGTCGGGGCTCTCTTGATCCAAGAAACTTGGCCTATTCTCCATCTATATTTTTTATTGGTTAGCCAGACTTGAGTCCTGGAGCTGGAAAGTACAGCACTTGCACTCAAAAGGAGGGATTTGGGATATTTGCTGTTTAGAGTGACATCTAAACTGTCGTATCTATGCACCTCTGGCAAGACAATGATAGTATGAAAGATGCTGAAAGCGTTTCTTTTTTGGGTCATCATGCCTTGGTGGGAGATGCCTAGCATGTTAAAAAAATGGGGAACTATTATAGGTAATTTGATTCCATATCTCTACCCAGTGGGAATAGGTATCTTATCACACCAGAATTCTATAATAAAACACATTAGCAATATTTAAACATTTAAAAGAGATATGTAAATTATTGGAGACTGCATGCACTTGTCTTGATTGTGGGTATGAAGGACTAATTTTAAATACACATCTTATTACTTGCCTGATTTTTGTAAGGGTTATGCAGGAGTACACACTCAGACATGAAGTAAGCAATCATAGCATTGCCTCCCAGAGCTGCAACATGAGCTCGCACAAGTGCCAGCACCTCAGTTACAAAACTGCCCATAAAGCCACTCAGACCACCACTCTGTACACAGAAGGTATTAATTTTTTTTTTTTAATCTTCCACTGCGAGATCAAAACATAATAAATATCTAAAAGTACATTTTCAAATAAGAATCATAGACATTTATCAATGAAAAGGTATATTGCATTTGGACAGAAAAAAACAGAATGAAAAGGATCTTCAGCAGATAAAGAGGGTCTTTCAGTGAGGCCAAAATAAACAGATCTCCATTCTGTTTTATTTTCAGTACAAGTGGGACTCACATTTTTGCCCATCTACATACTCATGTAAGTGAGCCAAGTGAAGATTGTGACAAAAATAACAATTAGATGGGGCAATATGAACTGTAAGAAAAACTCTGAATATGAAGATCCCAAGGCTTTACAATATCCTCCCATTAACCCTTTGACTGTTTTCGTCTTATATATACGTCTTACACACCACTGTTCCGGACGTATTTATACGCGTAAATTCTAGTGGCTTCAAATCAAGCAGGAGAAAGCTGGTAGGCCCACATGTGAGAGAATGGGTCTGTGTGGTCAGTGTGCACCACATAAAAAAATTCCTGCAGTATGCAGTGCATAATGAGTAAAAAAAAAACTGACCGTTTTTTTAGATTAAAACGCCGACTTTGAGGTGCATTTTCGTATAGTATTTATCATTGTATTCTCATTTTCATGGTCTCACATGATAAAATGGAAAACATATTACAGAAATAGAGATGATTGTGACTAGTTTCACGATGAAAACGACCTTGAAATTGAGCTCAAAGTAGTAGAAATGTCCGATTTTTACCGATGTTCAGGAGTGAGCAAATCACACCACACGTCCAATACACGTCAACTGGGGAGTCTAATATTCTTTCACTAGTGCACTGATATTATTTATACCATTTTTACAATAATGCAGTAGTCTGCATAACAGTAAATTTTGTATTTTTTGTATGAATAAAAAATCAAAATAGAAAGCAATAGTAATATAAAGGGGCCAAGAGACGTGACTAATGAACAGAGGATATGTTATTTTAGTGCGAAGAATGTCTACATGGTTTATTCTGGACCCTATTTTGAAATTGGCATCATTTTTAATTTGCGTGAAATTGGCCAAATTGCCAATTTCTGACCACTTTATTGGGTAGTTCAAATCGGTAAATAGGCAGTTTCTTTTACTCAACTGATAGAAAAAATGGAGTTCTAAAGAAATAGCTATGAGTTTGGTCAACTGGAACAATGGAATTGGCCAAAAACAGGGCTCAAAGTCGGCAAAATCGCCAAGGTGTATATGTCGCCAAGACCGCTAACTTCGTGGGAGCGTAATTCCCTGAGTTTTCGACCAAATTTCGTACTTATGGTGTCATTACCACCAGGAAAAGATTCTCTATCATTTCATAAGAAAAAATAATTTTTTTTTCCAAAAAATTTTGCAACATTGAATGGCAGTTTCAGAAAAGGGCTTGCAACAGTCAAAGGGTTAAATGTTAGAATAATTAAAAAGTGCTCTTGTAAAGGAAACACCACAACTCTATCGTATAAGGTAAAGTGAAGTCTAGAGAGTTGTGACTAACTGAAGATGGCTGAAAAAATAAAAAGTATGAGAAATGCTCTGAGTGCTAAACTAAATGACTTAGCTAAGATATAGCAAGTATTTTAAAATTAACTTAATTTTTGGAACAACATTTTGCAGTACAGTATGTCAGTGTTTATTAACCCTTTGAGGGTCGAGAGGCCCTCTCCCAAACTCGTTCTCAGGGTCGAAAAATTTTCGAAAAAAAAAAAAATTATTTTTTTCTTAGGACATGATAGAGAATCTTTTTTCGATCATAATGACACTAAAAGTATGAAATTTGATGGAAAACTTACGGAATTATGCTCTCGCGAAGTTAGCGGTCTCAAAGTTGGTGATTTCTCCCACTTTGAGCCCTATTTTTGGTCAATTCCAATGTTGCAGTTGACCAAACTCATAGCTATTTCTTTAGAACTCCATTTGTTCTATCGATTGAATGCAAGAATCTGCCCATTTATCGATTTCAACTACTCAATAAAGTGGTCAGAAATTGGCAATTTAGGCAATTTCACACAAATTTCAAAAGATGCCAATTTCGAAATAGGGTCCGGAATAAACAAGACAGACATTCATGACACTAAAATAACATTTTATCTGTTCATTAGTTACATCTCATGGCCCTTCTTACATTACTTTTGCTTTTCAATTTGAATTTTTATTCTCAGAGAAAATAGAAGGTTTTCTGTTATGTATACTACTGCATCATTGTAAAAATGGTATAAATGATATAATTATACTTGTGAAAGAATATTAGACTCACCATTTGATGTGTATATGATGCATGGCTAGATTTGTTTACCCTTGAACATCGGCAAAAATCGATCATTTTCGCTACTCTGAGCTCAATTTCAAGGCACTTGTCATCATCTCTAATTCTATAATATATCTTCCATTCTATCAAATGAGACCAAGGAAATGAGAATACAACCATAAATACCATACGAAAATACACTAGAAAGCCACTGTTTTAAACCAAAAACACAAAGTTTTTTTTTTTCTCATTTTGCACAGTGTGTGTCAGGATTTTTTTATATTGCGCACACTGACCACACAGACCCATTCTTTCATATGTAGGCCTGCCAGCTTTCCACCAGATTTGAAGGCGCTAGAATTTAGGCGTACAGGTACATAACCAACCCTGGCTGCAATGACGTACTTGTACGTGACCGACCCTCAAAGGGTTAAAATGAACACAGCATATGAAATAATCTTGCTAAATAAAATAAAGAATACCATTATAATGACTGCAAGGTATATTAACAACTTACCTCTTTAATGCTAGTAGATTCTCTGATGAAGAAGAAGTTCAAATTCCCCAAGTGGCAATCTATACGTGCACCAGGAATGTAGGAAAGAGGAGTAATTTCCACACCATACCTTTCTCTTGGAGATAACTAGTGAGGAAAGAGCTTTGTGATTAGGTAAGCTATAGCCATCTGATACGCACTATATGGCAAAGGAACCTTCAAAAATTACATGATAAATTTTAAATACTAATAGTAGCTGTGCACATCATGTCAGTTTGGCCACAGGGAATCAAATAGTTTCAATAAATGCCAGGAATGTTAATAGTACTCACATGATAGTTTATATATTTAGGATAATTTCTAGATTTAGTTGATGACCTAGCAGATGATGCAGAAGAACTGATAGAAGCTGTTGAAGGTATAGAAGGTACTGAGGGCACTGGAGTGATTGAGACTACTGAATGTTTGGAAACCAAAGGCTGTGGAGGGTGTTGCTCCTGAGGCTCCTGCTGTTGGAATACTTTTGATTTTGAAATTTCTTCTCCTGATGGAATTAATTCCTCCATTTTGAATATCATTTCACCATCATCTGAATACAAAAATAAGAACTTTTCATTAACATTAAAAATGACTAAATATTTTGTGGCTCATGCTATCCTTATGCAAAAAAAAAAAAATGTTTTTTGAATAAAATGAAGACCAAATTTAGCATTAGGTTGTTTTAATCATGTTACTAAATAAGGCCAAAACATTAAAAAATAGCCTAAGTAGTAAGTTGGCAAACAGCAACCACCCAGGGAGGTACTACCGTCCTGCCAAGTGAGTGTAAAAGGGAATCCTGTAATTGTTTTACATGATGGTAGAATTGCTGGTGTCTTGTTTCTGTCTCATAAACATGCAAGATTTAAGGTACGTCTTGCTATTTCTACTTACATTTAGGTCACACTGCACATACATGTACAAGCATATATATACACACCCCTCTGGGTTTTCTTCTATTTTCTTTCTAATTCTTCTTCTTGTTTATTTCCTCTTATCTCCATGGGGAAGTGGAACAGAATTCTTCCTCCGTAAGCCATGCGTGTTATAAGAGGCGACTAAAATGCCGGGATCAAGAGGCTAGTAGCCCCTTCTCCTGTATATATTACTAAATTTATACTTTCATTTTTCCTTTTGGGCCACCCCACCTCGGTGGGATACAGCTGGTACGTTGAAAGAAGATTAAAAAATAGAACAAAACAAGATAAAAGGAGCTTATATTTAGCAAAGCAATGCATTCAATATGATTAACAAAATGATACTGATTTTTAGTGATTGCTTTTCATGCAGGAAAATCCTACAACTGAACACAGCATAACATAGGTCAATAACTACCAAAAGTCATGATTTGCTATCCAAGGATGTCTAGGATATGTCTTAATTCACATTCTAGACAGCAGTGACTAATGCCAGTGGTGATATTTGTAACATCTTTTATGTTTTGATGAAGAGAATTAATAAAAGGTGCATAAAAATAGAAAAATGTCTTGACTCACTTGGAATTTACAACAAAGCACATGCCAAGGCAAGAGAGAATACTCACAGGTAGAACACCAAAGTTCTTTTATAAAATTATACCACATAGCAGTGAAAATGATGCCAGTGGTGATATGAACAACTTGTGTTGTAGTCTCATGAGGACATTAAAGAAAAGTGTGAAGAGCAAAAGAAAAATGCTGAGTACTTGCTGTGTTATACAAGAAGGCAAGGAGTCCCTGCCCATGACAAGAAAAGTTCTCTAAGGATATGGTAAAACAGATTGATTCATGTTGGAGTATGGCTGTGAGCCAACAACAAGCATTTAAAAAAAGACATGCACAGCAAAAGGAGACCCTTTTTATTCTGATATTTCACCTACAAAGGCTTTATTATTTGATGAAATCTCTTGTTGGTAAAACACTAATAATATGTCTGATTTGTAACGATGTAATTTATTCATGCTTTTTTTTTTTGAGGAGTATTGATAAGAGGCATATAATCATACTGTACATGGCACAGATCATCATCATTCCATTCTACAGTACAAGGAAATCTTTATTATATATAATATGAATAATGTGATACAATAATACCACTACCTTGTTTTGCCTTTTTAAGAGGAATATCTGATTGGCCTGCTTGAACTGTGGTGCTAGGTATGACAGCCGAGGGTTGTGTATGAACTGAAGGAGATCCTTGCCCAAGAACCATTCCAAGTAGACTAATTTGCAACTCATCCTCCTCAGGTAACTCCACATTTACTTGTAATCCAGCTATAATACACGGTGCCAATTTGCGAACTTTGAAGTACACACTCTGAAAATTATCAGAAAAAGTAATAAAAACCAAAATGATTTTTACAAAATCCTGGTTGGTAATGTATGCTGCCCAAAAATACTATAGTAATATCTAATATTTGTTTGAAGAGACTCAAATTTTAAGTATAATGAAAACAATGGCACAACAGAATAAAAATTAAGAGCCAGAAAGCGAGAGATATATTTTTAATGAAAGTATTCCACCATTATTAGGAAAATTTTTGCTAAAATTGTAATGCTCAAATCTACTGCTGCAATTATTGTACATATTCTTCACTCCTGTCACTTAATAAGTACTGTCTAATCAAAGTTTTACAGCCATATTGCAGGGGTAGAAAAACCTTGACACCTGTTGCAGGTATATTGCATGTAAATTTACATATTTTTAACATATCAGCAAACTGGTGCTAATGCTTTTACAGTTTTTAAATCTGCTCAAAAATGCCTCTTTTCTTTATTTCCATGCTTTTATCATATTCTAAATTTCAAAGAAGTCTATAATAATATATACCTGAATGTATCTGTCATTTGCTGTCTCCTACAAGAATTAATTTATGTAAATTATTGAGTAACTAAAATGATGCAGGTCCTTCATCTCACATCTGAAGTGTTCACCTTCAGTGCACGGAACTGTAGACAAATTGTCTTGCTCTCTTGCCTTTCACTCGGCTTTATTGCCTTTTATGACATGCCAGACAGTATAGGAGATTCTCCCCTTAAGGAACTCAACTGCATAGCCATTTCCTTTTTTTCTTCATTCCTACAAAGCAATGTTTACTTACTCTACCCTAAGTAGATAAAGTGAATCAAAGGAAAAAAACTGAAGGCATCAATATGTGTGTATAGTATATTTCATATGGTACAGTTAAAGCCAAATTATTCACTAAATAAGGGAATTATAATAATAAGCAATCCCATTAAAAAAATTTATCTGAAAATCTTTTTACCTGGAGAAGTTTATCAAAGTACTGGTTGAAGAAGTTGTGATTTAGTGTGGCGGGCACCTTAGTTCTCCACACCCGGGTAAACATTTGGAGGTTTGTTACTATTCTGTCTCTGGGCACACCAGGAGGCACTTGTGTGGTTACTGCCATTAACTGGGCAGGTGGGCAGCCCTCAACAAGAAGGCCAATCATTTCTGCATCTTCCATATCATCCAACTGAATTATGCAGAAAGAAAATTTTGAGGTCAAGGTTAATAAGGGTCATGTCTTGTTATTCTAAAATCAAAAATTTATGAGGCATTGTATTTTTTAATAAGCCTTAACTCAGGCAAAGTTGTCCACTCAACAAAGGAGTCAGGTGATACATCTTGAAGGAATAGAGCTCAAAGGAGTGACGACATAAGTAGGTAGGTAGTTAATATGACACAGCGGGCTTGGAATTGAAAAATTAATCAACATGGCTCTTCACTGTAAAAACAATAGGAAACAGATTATTTGTGAGAAAAAAATTATTCAGAGAATTACATTATATGTACATGAAGAGGAGTTATGCAAAGAAGAAAAGTAAGGAAACAGCAGTAAGGGAGGTAGATGCAACTATGTGGTGAAAGGCACAAGATTCAACATTAGAAGGAAGGTCAGTGGAATTTATTGGAGAAATAGCTTTCCAGTGAATTACATCAAGAGTTTTGGTACCTTTCTCAGAGGAGAGAGCTGTATTCTAGACAAGGTTGGATGAGACTTGTAGTGTTGAAGCAACTGAAAAGTTAAAGATATTCAGAATCTGAGAATTTCCAACTGTGTGGCATGTGAAGGTACTTTTGGTGGTCACAAAAATAAGAAGTTTCCAAGACAAGTCAGAAATGACCTGCAATGTCTAAAATATTAGGAACCTCAAAATGAGTTAATAACCATACGAGTGTTGAAATAATGCATGGAAAAGCTGAGTTATATCACAACTGAATTAGATTATGTTGCAAGTGATCCTAAGAGAGATGAAATATCTGGTCAGATTAGGAGAATTAGGTTGAAAAATAAGCTTCACTGAGAGCTGCCAAAACTGAAATGTGAAGAGTACAAAGCTGAAGTGTCAGCTTTATATGTACCATAAAAAAAAAACTTTATTTAAAAATCAGAAAATGTGGAGAACTAATCAGAAGTGCAGAACACTGCAGCTTACAGAACATCCAAAAGCTATACCATCATACAACAAAGGTGAGAAAAAGCTGGTTATTCAGAGTCAATAGGAAGCAGGCTGAAGGGAGACAACTTTAAGTGTAAAGGTTTATGTCATATTCTTATCAAAACTATAACTCTATCCAGAATTACAACAAATGACTCAATGCTGTCATAAAATACAGGTAACAGGTAGTGAGGTAAGAAATGAGTCACCCATACTGGTAATCGAAAAAGAATATTAGTGTGTTCAAGATACTGAACAGGATAAACATAAAAATGTGATAATTTCTTTAAAGAAATCTAAAGCTACACAAACACTACAAAGATTGCCATGTAATTTTGCAAAAATAGCTAACTGTGCCATTTCACCCAAGGGGTAAATACAGGCAGGCCCTGCTGTACAGCGCTTCACTTTACAGCAATTCGCTAATGCAGTGGTTTTCAATTATACCCATTCTTCATTTATTCAGACTTCCTACAATAAATATATTCAACAGTCAGTATAAACTAAGGATGAAAATATTTTAAGGTAAGTAATGTGTGTACTGTATATGCATCTTTTTAGGCCTAGGTTTATTGCTCACTTAATATATGATAGTATAAACATGTTATCAAGTTCTTCTATGCATTTGAAAGTGAAAAAAGGCTATGTTTCACTCTACAACGATTTTCATTTTACAGCAATAGTCCAGAACCTGACCTGCTGTATAAATGGGACCTGCCTGTATGATGAGAAAATGCAACAGAAAAGTGTAGGAGCCTGCACTAGCAGTAGACTTTCTCGCCCCAACAAGGCTACTAGATATGGAGGCCATTAAGAAAATAATTACAATGATTTGCCTATTATCCAAAGATTTTAATCAAGGCTTTTTGGATAACCATAAAATCTAGAAAAAGGGAGACCTCAATGCAGAAACAAACCTTGTTTCTGAAGTCTGTAACTTGAATGTTTAACCCCTAAACTGTCCAAACGTAGATCTACGTTTTTTTTACATGCTTTCAAATGGAGAAAATCAAGGTCTGAGCGCTATGCGCGTAAATGTAGATCTACATTTGGACAGTTTAATAGTTAAGACAATGAACCTATTTCTTACAGTAACCAAAAGTATAATGATGCTGAGTCCCACACTAGCATCTAAGAACCTCCCTTCAGGTGTTAGGACCCTTGTACAGTGGATCCTCGCCTAACGAACACATCGCATAATGTTAAATCCGGGTAGCGATACATTTTAATGCAAAAATTTTGCCTCGGCTAGTGCTAAAAAACTCGCCCAACATGATTCGTTCCATTCGAGACGCGTCTACTTGCGGCCTGAGCGCGCCTCACTTGTCCCATGGGTGCCAGTGTTTACAAGCCAGCCACCGCAGTCGCATCCAAACATACAATCGGAACATTTCATATTATCACAGCGTTTTTAGTGATTGCACCTGCAAAATAAGTCACCATGGGCCCCAAGAAAGCTTCTAGTGCCAACCCTACAGCAAAAAGGGTGAGAATTACTATGGATATGAAGAAAGAGATCATTGCTAAGTATGAAAGTGGAGTGCGTGTCTCTGAGCTGGCCAGGTTGTACACAAAACCCCAATCAACCACCCATACTATTGTGGCCAAGAAAACAGAAATCAAGGAAGCTGTTCTTGCCAAAGGTGCAACTTTGTTTTCGAAACAGAGATCGCAAGTGATAGAAGATGTTGAGAGACTGTTATTGGTGTGGATAAATGAAAAACAGATAGCAGGAGATAGCATCTCTCAAGCGATCATATGTGAAAAGGCTAGGAAGTTGCATGACAATTTAATTAGAAAAATGCCTGCAACTAGTGGTGATGTGAGTGAATTTAAGGCCAGCAAAGGTTGGTTTGAGAGATTTAAGAATAGTAGTAGAATGCATAGTGTGATAAGGCATGGTGAGGCTGCCAGTTCGGACCAAAAAGTGGCTGAAAAGTATGTGAAGGAATTCAAGGAGTACATAGACTGTGAAGGACTGAAACCTGAACAAGTGTTTAATTGTGATGAAACAGGCCTGTTTTGGAAAAAATACCAAGCAGGACCTACATTACTCAGGAGGATAAGGCACTCCCAGGACATAAGCCTATGAAAGACAGGCTTACTCTGTTGATTTGTGCTAATGCTAGAGGTGATTGCAAAGTGAAGCCTTTATTGGTGTATCACTCTGAAACTCCCAGTGTTCAGGAAAAACAATGTCCTCAAGGCTAATTTGTGTGTGCTGTGGAGGGCAAACAGTAAGGCATGGGTCACTAGGGACTTTTTCTATGACTGGTTACACCATGCGTTTGTCTCCACTGTGAAAAATTGCCTAATTGAAAAGAAATTAGACCTTAAGTGCCTCCTGGTATTAGACAATGCTCCTGGTCATCCTTCAGACGTGGCAGAATGACTTTCTGCGGAAATGAGCTTCATTAAGGTCAAGTTTTTGCCTCCTAATACCACTCCTCTCCTGCAGCCCATGGACCAGCAGGTCATTTCCAACTTCAAGAAACTGTACACAAAAGCTATGTTTGAAAGGTGCTTTGTAGTGACCTCAGAAACTCAATTGACTCTAAGAGAGTTTTGGAGAGATCACTTTAGCATCCTCAATTGTGTAAACATTATAGGTAAGGCTTGGGAGGAAGTGACTAAGAGGACCTTGAACTCTGCTTGGAAGAAACTGTGGCCAGAATGTGTAGACAAAAGGGATTTTGAGGGGTTTGAGGCTAACCCTGGGAATCCTATGCCAGTTGAGGAATCCATTGTGGCATTGGGGAAGTCCTTGGGGTTGGAGGTTAGTGGGGAGGATGTGGAAGAGTTGGTGGAGGAGGACAATGAAGAACTAACCACTGATGAGCTGCTAGATCATCTTCAACAGCAAGAGGCCACACCTGAGGAAACTGCTTCGGAGGAGGGGACAGAGAAATTGAAGAAGTTGCCTACTTCAAAGATTAAGGAAATGTGTGCAATGTGGATTAAAATGCAAACCTTTTTTGCTGAAAATCACCCTCACACAGCTATTGCAAGCCGTGCTGGTGACTATTACACTGTCAATGTTGTGAAACACTTTAGGAATGTCATAAAGGAACGGGAGGTACAGGCCTCTATGGACAGATATGTTGTGCGACAGAGGTCCAGTGACTCTCAAGCTGGTCCTAGTGGCATTAAAAGAAGAAGGGAAGTAATCCCGGAAAAGGACTTGCCACCTCAAGTCCTAATGGAAGGGGATTCCCCTTCTAAACATTAACACCATTCACAGTCTCCCCTCCTCCCATCCCATCAATCATCACCAGATCTTCAATAAAGGTAAGTGTCATGTAACTCTGCATGTCTTCTTCAGTTTGTGTGTATTAAAATTAATATTTCATGTGGTAAAAATTTTTTTTTGTTCATACTTTGGGGTGTCAGGAACGGATTAATTTGATTTCCATTATTTCTTATGGGGAAAATTAATTCGGCTAACGATAATTTCGCCTAACGTTGAGCTCTCAGGAATGGATTAATAACGTTAGGAGGCGAGGGTTCACTGTACTCATAAATTCTAGCGGCTTCAAATCAAGCAGGAGAAAGCTGGTAGGCCCACATGAGAGAGGATGGGTCTGTGTGGTCAGTGTGCACCATATAAAAAAAATCCTGGAGCACTCAGTGCATAATGAGAAAAAAAAACAAAGAACGTTTTTTTTAATTAAAATACCGAATTTGTGGTCTATTTTTGTATAGTACAGTGGACCCCCGGTTCATGATATTAATCTGTTCCTGAGAGCTCATCGTAAACCAAAATTATCGGAAAGCAAATCAATTTTCCCCATAAGAAATAATGGAAATCAAATTAATCCGTGCAAGACACCCAAAAGTATGAAAAAAACCTTTACCACATGATATATTAATTGACACTTACCTTTAATGAAGATCTGGTGATGATTGATGGGATGTGAGGAGGGGAGAGTGTCGAAGTTTTAATGTTTAGAATAGGAATCCCCCTCCATTAGGACTTGAGGTAGCAAGTCCTTTTCCGGGGTTACTTCCCTTCTTCTTTTAATGCCGCTAGGAC